CCAGCTGTGGATGAGCAGAACAAGCAGACCCAAGCCTACCGGGGCAGCGCAGGCCCCAGCAGGAAGGACAGCTCGGAGGAGCTCAACAAGGAGGAGGAGAGGCTCAGTAAGATGCCAATGGGGAATGCGGCTTTTTGGGGGGGGAACATGGAGGTGAGCTGTGGGATGGGAGCCGGGTAAGAGCCAGTTCAGCAGCTGCCTCCTCTTCCCCCCGGCCAGGCTCCCGGCGGGAGACAGTGACCTCCGCATCTTCCTCCATCATCCTGGACCGGCCAGACACCTTTGGCAGCTTGCAGTTCCCCGAAGACCCCAGTGCCCTGTAAGTCTGGGCTCCTGCTTGCACCAGGGCCCCTGGCCCACCTTTGCTGACCATCACAGAGCGGGAGCAGAGCTGCTTCTTGGAGATGGCCTCTGGGGGATCCTCTGCACACCAGTGCAGCATACCTTGTGCCCAGCCCTCCCTGGCCTGGCCACACCACGGAAGCCGCCATGTGCCCAGTGCTGCCAGCCCCTTGGCCAGCACCATGCTCACGCTGGGGGCTACCCCTCCTGGCCAGTGCAGGCAGGTCCTGGGTGCACCATGGGTGTCCCACCATGGGGACTGAGAGAGCTCCAGCCAGCCCTGCTGGCTTCCCAGTGCCAGCCCCTCCAGGAGCTCATTCCGTGGCTCTGGCAGGTTTTGTGCCCCATCCCCGCTGCCAGCCTTGTGGTTGCCCGTGTGCAGCCACCTCACAACGTGCCCGCCCTCTCTGCTGCTTTCAGCCTTTTCTCGGAGAAATGCGTCATGAATAACTACTTCGGTATCGGCCTGGATGCAAAGATCTCCCTGGAGTTCAACAACAAACGGGATGAGCACCCCAAGAAGTGCAGGTTAGCTGAACGCCCCCCTCTCCCCAGATTCCCCTAGGAAAACGTACCACCCCTGTGGCTTTCTGATGCCTGTGCCAGGATGCCAGCCATGGGGTGGGCTCGGGGCTGTGGTACCTGGCTGGGGACATGCTCGGCATGCTGGTGAGCACCCCTGGGTGGACTAACACACCTGGGAAGGGGGAGGGCTGCTGCGAGGCTCCAGCTGCTGATGCCCTGCGGGTGTGTGAGTGGGCACAGGAGGGCTTGGTGGGGTTTATCTGCACCTAGATAGAGGAGACATGGTGTGCTGGCTTGGAAGGGTGCATATATGGGTGCCATATCCTGCAGCTCACATCTCCTGCCAGGCAGCAGGGACCCCCTGCTTAGGGGATGGGGAAACTGAGGCAGACGCAGGGCCAGCAGTCCAGGCTGGCTGGTTCAGCCCTGGACAGGCAGGGTGGAGCCATGGCCCCTCTCACCCACCCTGGTCTCCCTGCAGCAGCCGCACCAAGAACATGATGTGGTACGGAGTGCTGGGCACCAAGGAGCTCCTGCAGCGTACCTACAAGAACCTGGAGCAGCGGGTGCAGCTGGAGGTAGGGGGCTGGGGGGAACAGGGATGGGGTGGGGGGGGCAGCGGTGTGGCAGCCCCCCAGGCTCAGCCCTCTTTTGCAGTGTGATGGGGTGCCCATCTCACTGCCCAGCCTGCAGGGCATCGCTGTCCTCAACATTCCCAGCTATGCTGGTGGCATCAACTTCTGGGGAGGCACCAAGGAGGACAATGTGAGTGCCAGCACCATGGGGTGGGGAGGGGGCGCATGACATCCTTCCCACGGTCCCAGGGAACCTGGGATCCCTCAGGCAGAGGGAGTCTCTGGTTTGGGCACACATGGGGGAGAAAGCTGGGTCCCAAAATGAGCCCGGTTTGGCGGTCTCACTGATCCTCTACAGAACTTTGGGGCTCCGTCCTTCGATGACAAGAAGCTGGAGGTAGTGGCCGTCTTCGGCAGCATCCAGATGGCTGTGTCACGGGTCATCAACCTCCAGCACCATCGCATTGCACAGGTAGGGGCAAGGGACCCTGTGTGGTGCTGGAAAGCTTTGGGGCACCAGTGGAACAATTGGGTAATGCAGCCCAGCTGGGCTGGCACTAGGAGGCTTTCCAGCCCTGGCACAGCAGCTGAAGCCACATGTAGTGTCAGCCGTGATGCTAAGGCCAGGGTCACTGTCCCACAGTGCCGCATGGTGAAGATCACTATCCGGGGGGACGAGGGCGTCCCTGTGCAGGTGGATGGAGAAGCCTGGATCCAGCCACCTGGCATCATTAAAATCCAGCACAAGAACCGAGCCCAGATGCTGACAAGGGACCGGGTGAGCACGGGGCTGTGCAGCCTGTGCGGTGGGTCCGTGCTGGGGCAGGGGGACCTGCAACAGGGTGAAGAGGGCCATCTCACTGCCCCCACAGGCATTTGAAAGCACCCTCAAGTCCTGGGAGGACAAGCAGAAGGGGGAGAGCTACCGAGCGGCTGCCAGGCCGCGGCTCAGCTCCCAGCAGTCCATGGAATACCTGACTGAGGAGGAGAGCAGCCTCTTGCAGCAGGTCTCACGGGTTGCCGAGACCCTCATCGCCAGGTCAGGCTGTGGTGGACACAGCAGGGGGGACCTTTGCTGTGGCACCCCAGAGCTCCAGGGCTCTCCTAGTCCCGTCCAGCCCTGAGGATCCCCAGTATCTCTGTCCCCTCTCACCTGCAGGATCCACGAGGCAGCCAAGGCTCACAAAGCTGTGGAGCAGGAGCTGGCGCATGCTGTCAATACCAGTTCCCTGGCACTCAGCGAAGCCCTTTCCAACAAAGCCACTGTCACCTCAGAGGTGAGCCAGGGCTGAGGGGAAAAATGCCACCTGCACCTGGCCACCCTGGAGCTGTGGCACTTGAGGGGTCACCCCTCCATGCCCCCTAGTTTCTCAGCAGGAACACGGCTGTGGAGGTGGTGCTGAGCATCAAGGAGCTGTATGCTGAGACCAGGGCATTCCTGGAAGGGAAGGCGGTGAGTCAGGGACTGAAGAGCACCCCAAGACCCTCACTGGAAGGGCCTATGCCCCTGGCCGGCACCTCTGGGGGTGACAGCAAGGACAGGGATGGTCTCTGTCCCCCCCAGCTGGACTCACCACAGGAGGAGGAGGCACTGCACGGCCCCCTGAGTGTGCTGGGCCAGGAACTGCAGAGGCTGCTGGACATCCACTGGCTGGGACCCATTGCCCACCCTGCTGAAGAGGTGGGTGCCCATGGACCGCTGTGGGGTGGGGCATAGACCACTAGGTGTCTCCAGCGCCCCACTCAGCCTGGCTTCTCATAGGAAAGTGCCGGCAGCGCCAACAAGGGGAGCTTCAAGCTTCGCCTCAACATCCCCAAGCCCAGGAAGGAGAAGGACAAGGTGCAAAAGCAGAAGACCAACAGCACGCTCCCAGGTAAAGCAGGGGGGTGTAGCAGGGAGGGGGAGAGGTACAGCCCACGCTGTTGGGGACCCCCCTGTGCTGGCATGTCCATTGGCCTCTGGACCTGGGCATTCAGCGAGGTAGCCTTGGGGAGGGGGGATAGGGCATGTCCTGGCTGCCTGGGGATGTCACCTTTGTCACCACGAGCCCCTTAGAGCTGGCAGAGCTTCAACTAATGGATAGGCGGAGCCCCCCAGCCCTCTAAACTCCAGCAGGAGGGAGAAGGGAGCTGTGGTACAGCTCAGCCCTTTGGGTAAGTCCCTGCCTCAGGGCTGGGGGTCGTGATGATGGGGAGAAGCTCGGATGCTCTGTAAGACAGCCAAGGAGAAGAGAAGCCTCTCCAGCCTGAGCCTGGCCCCGCTAGAGCCAGGGGTGGGAGGGGGGATGCTGGCTGCAGCCCCCACAGCTGCCCTCAGCTGCCTCCACCGGCCCTGTCCACCTCTGTGGTTTTTCTCCCTGCCAGCGGACAAGTGGGGCTCCGAGGAGGTGGCAGCTTGGCTGGAAGCTCTCGGTTTAGGGGAGTACAGAGACATTTTTGTCCGGCATGACATCCAGGGCTCTGAGTTGATCCTGCTGGAGAGGAGAGACCTGAAGGTACAACTATCCTTGTGCCCATGAGGAACCCCCAGCCCTCAGGGAGCATGGTGTCCTCCATCCCTCCTCTCCCTGTCCCCCCATGGGGGCAGAAGGCAGGCCCTGACCCTGCACCCTTCCCCAGCCCTGAGCTTGCCCCGCTTGCATGCGGAGGAGGGGGTTGGCCCTGGATCCCCAGCTTGCAAGAAGACTGTGTCCCTGCTAGAAGCAGGATCAACAGACCATGCCCTCTCCTGCACCCCAGCACAGCGACATGCTTGTGAGAGAGCCCAGGGCTCCTGACAAGGGCCGTGCTCAGGCAGGGAGAGCACGAGGAGCCTCATCCCCCACTGCTTGCTGCCAGTGAGAGGCGAGGGCCAGCCCCTTCCCGCACCTCAGTTCCCCTCTCCTCCCTGCAGGACCTGGGGATCACCAAGGTGGGCCACATAAAGAGAATCCTCCAGGCCATTAAGGAGCTCAGCAGCCCGCCCTAGGCTGGGTGCTGCCCCCGGACCAGGGGCAGGCGGGGGGGGTGGGGCTCCTGGTCCCCACTGTGCCCTGTATGTGTGGAGACCCCCTGCTTGCCTTGCTTCGTCTATTGTCCCCCAGTGTCCCTGGAGCCAGTGCTTCTTCCCAAGCCTGTGGGCTGGAAACACTAAAGCAGAGGTCTAGCCCTGTAGGCAATGTGGCCTGACCCCAGTCCAGCCCCCACAGGGTCAAGACAGGAGCTTGGACTGCAATGTGCGTGCCCAGGCAGGGGCCAAAGCAACAATCCCCCTTCCCCACCTGAGTATTTAAGCTGTGTAAATATTTGGAGAAAAGATACTCATTGCTGCTGCTTGTGTAGTGTCATTACTTAGGGTTGGGGGGGAGGAAGAGGGAAATGGGGACTTGGCCCCTTCCAGCCTTCACTCATCAGCTCTCACCCCACTTCCTGCTCCCCATCATGCAAACTCCCCCCCCATTCACCCTCTGCCCCAACACAGCTCCAGTTCAGCGTGATCTCTGCTGCCATCCCCTACCCCAGCAGCCACCACCAGTGTATAAGACAAACATAACATTTTATTAACAACTCCACATGACTTTTTTTTTTCCCCCCCCCCTCCTCCCCTTCAGTTAAAATTGACATTTTTGTACATGGTGCTTCCCTGCCAGAGAGCACCCAGTTATTTACAGGCTATTTACAGAGATGGGCCTAGCAGCTGTTCAGTATCTCCTCCAGCTTGAGCATGTCCATGGGCGTGACTTTGGCAACCTCAAAGTAAACCCTAGAAGGAACCACGTTGTCTTAGAGCTCAGCCACAACCCCAACACCCACCAGTGCCCCACAACTCTCTGCAGCACCCAAGGGTGCCACCCTCTGCAGAGGGAACAGGCACGAGGCAGAGCCCCCTGACCCTCACCTGTGCGAGTACTTGGTGTGCACAGCCTTCAGCTTGTCGCGGGGCTGGTACGTCAGCAGGAAATTCAGCTTCTTCACCAGGGGATGCAGGTCCTGGGAGCGGTACCCGCTGTAGTACTCCAGCGTGGGGGTCTGCAGAGGGACAGCAGGGTTGAGCTGGGTCCTCTCAGCAATGATACAGCCATCATCTTCACTCTCCAGTCCCCCAAGTCTGAGCATAGCCCCAGAGCATCACCCCCACACTCCAGTCCTTCCACTCCTGCACCCCCTTGGTGACTCCCAGTGTGTCTCAGGGGGGACAGAAGTTTGTGCGGGCACTTACCCAGCCACCAAGGTTCTTCATGATGAGTGCCAACAGCAGGCAGCTGGCAGCCAGCTTGGAGGGGCTCTCCCGGGCATAGTCGTACTCCTGCAGTGTCATCTCACAGAGGAATCGGGCCAATGTCAGAGTCTCCATGGTGGCACGGGCACACTACAGCCAGGCAGGCAGGGAAAGGCTCAGCCTTTTGAGCAATGCTGCCCCTCTTTACCTCCCCCCCCGCCCCGTCAACCTTTATTGGATCAAATGCTGCCCCTGGGGTACAGAACACAGATCCCACACCCCCATCCTACCACAGACCAGCATCTTCACGTCTCAGCCCTGTCACGGGTGGCCTGGCCAAACCCTCCTTGGTGCCAGCTGGGAGCCCAGGGCTTCAGGGATGCAAAAGCCACCCCAAGGAGCTAACACAAGGGGGTCCTGCAGGCACCTAGACACCAGCCCCCCCACTCGCTGCACCTACCTTGGCAAAGCGTCGCAGGAACCGGTAGGCAATAGGGATGTTGATATCAAACTTGAGGGTGCTAAGGATGCTTATTTCCATAGCAATGAGCTCTTCCCGCTTGTAAGCATCGTCACAGATGTAGAGGAAGTCATCCACGCATGGTGGGCACCTCTCCTGCCGGGACACAACTGCTCAGCACCCTAAGAGGGACTCATCCCAACAACACTCAGGAAAGCCCACCAGTCCAGTGGGGCTTGTGTGTCTATTGTGCCCCCAGCCCTTGGGATAGAGGAGGTAACACAAGGACAGACAGACAGACGTACTGCCCCGGTAATTCTCAGGGCAGTGGCCTGGCACTGTGGGGACCTGGCCTTCTCCAACAACCCCTGGGGACCAGTGAAGCACAACTCCCTCTGCCCCAGCACCCCCAGACAGAGCAGGAGTCACCTCAAATTTGGAAGCGATGAGGATGGCAGTGGAGCCAATGAGCTGCAGCTTGTCCCTCATGCTCACCACCTCCACCAGGTAGTGGTCCACCAGCTTCACAGCCAGGTACAGCGTCTCGTGGTTTAGCTCAAAGTTCTCCTGCATGGGTGTGGGGAGGGGGATAGGAGAGGGTGTCAAGCAGAAGCTAAGCATACCTGGCCCTCCTGCAGGTCCCCTCACTAGGGGCAAGATGTGCCTATGGGGCCAGGCTTGGAGGAAGGGATGCAAGGGGAAGGGGGAAAGTCAGCTCTGCACTGGCAACACTTGCAGGAGCCTCTGCCAGTATACTGAGGTTCCTCAAAGGCAGGGTGGGGGCTGCTTTGCAGAAGACGATGGCCCTCCCCATGCCCACCTACCTGCACCTCCACCATCCAGTCCACCAGGATGGCACGCATGTCCCCACTGATGTCTGGCTGCTTCTTCATGTAGTCAGGGAGCATGAATTTCTCCTGCCGAGGCACCAGCTGTCAGGGACTCACTGGACACCACCACTCTCAAATGAGACCCCTGGCACCCCATGCACAGCCACCGCTTCCCCAGACAGGGCTGCCAGCCCCTGGCCAGGCATCACACACCTCTCTTCCCCGCATGTATTCGAAGATGTCCTTGGCATACTCTGCGTTGGCATAGGGGTCACCCAGCTGCTCCTTGTCTATGTCCTCCACTGCTGGTACCTGCTGGGATGGAGGCAGTAGTAAGGGGGAGGCCCCAACCTCTGCAGGTGCTGGTCACCTCTTCAGGGCAAGGCTGCTGCACCCCTGCCCCATTGCCCCCCATCACTCTGTAGCCCCCACCCAACCCTTTCCCATAGGAGATCTTTTAAAGGAAGAAGGTGGGGGGGGTCTGGCCCCTCCCCCAGCTTCCCATTGCACTGGCCCACGTATCTCCAAGGTCCAAAGCACTGCCTGGTGCCCCAGTATCACCAGTGGCAGACGCTAACCAGTGCCTTCAGGATGATCCTGGAGCCCAGGCTGCAGCCCGGGGTCCCTGCCCTCTCCTCAGGGAGCTTCTGTACCTGTGCAGGCACCAGCTCCTCTGGCACAGGATCCTCCTTGGGCTTTGCAGGAGCCTCTGTCGGGGGAGTTTTCTTCATTGGCCTGGACAGGAGAAAAGTGTAAGTCATTGCTGGGAGGAGGCTGCATCTCCTGGCTCCAGAGCCCCTTGCTGCTTCAGAAAGGGGATAAACCACCCCTAAAACACCCCTATAGAGACTCTTAGAATCATTCAGGTTGGAAAAGACCCTTAAGATCTTCAAATTCAACTGTAAACCTGACACTGTAAAGTCTACCACTAAACCATGTCCCTAAGTGCCATGTCTACAGGTCTTCTAAATTCCTGCAAGCACAGGGACTCCACCACTGCCCTGAGCAGCCTGTTCCAATGCTTGGCAACCCTTTTGGTGAAGAAGTTCTTCCTAATATGCAATCTACACCTCCCCTGCCACAACTTGAGACTATTTCATCTACAAATTCAACTGTAAACCTGACACTGTAAAGTCTACCACTAAACCATGTCCCTAAGTGCCATGTCTACAGGTCTGCTAAATTCCTGCAAGCACAGGGACTCCACCACTGCCCTGAGCAGCCTGTTCCAATGCTTGGCAACCCTTTTGGTGAAGAAGTTCTTCCTAATATGCAATCTACACCTCCCCTGCCACAACTTGAGACTATTTCATCTACTGTCTGGTCTCCCCACCTGGCTTATGGTCTCCATCATCCAAAAGAAACTCCCACCTCTGCCTGTTATTCCCCATGGGACAGGCTTGGGTCTGCAGCATCTCCCCTGCCCCAGTCCCTGTCCCCATCTCCCTTGGCTACTCACTTTTTCAGGTTGATCTCATTGGTCTTGGCCACCCCGAGGGCAGCATGGGCCTTCTGTGCTTTGTGTGGTGCCACTTTCACAGCCTCCTTCTTCCCAGACAGGACCTGGTTCTTGTGAGCCTGTTTGGGTGAGAATGGGGGTGTACAGAAGGAAGTGAGGTGTGGCCTGCAGGGAGACCTCTCTTCCTGTTGACAGGGCATGGGACACCCCCAATTCTGCCTACTTGGTGGAAAACCCAGCCCCACAGAAGCACTCACATTGGTGATGTCCCCAAACGCCGACCTCTTCTTGGGCCCGCCCTGCGGTGAGGATGGAGACCTCTTGGCCTGACAGCTCTCCTCCTGCAACAGAGGCTGTTAGAAGATGGGGGGCCAGCTGCCCTACAGAAGCACCCCCATCCCTCACCCAGCTGGGGACTCACCTTCTCGGGGTTGGTATTCTCCAAAGCAGAGTGCACCCTCCCTCGTCGGGGCTGCCTGGTGCCCAGCACCTTGGCACTGCGTGGCAACGACATCCTCTTCCTTGGCCTCTATGAGCAAGCCTGGGGCAGAGCAGACCTTGATGCGGGGGAACTGCCTGCCCCAGGGACACCGCAAAGGCAGAGCCATGGGACACTTGTCCCTCCCGGCAGGGGTGGAGCACAGCAGGGACAGACCCCAGCCCTCAGCATAGCAGGCGGATGGTGCCCAGGGAAGCGTGCAGATCTAGCTAGGGGGGTTCAGGAAGGGTTGGTACCCTCCTCCCTGAGGAGTGGGCGATATGGACCCTCACCTAAACCACCCTGCTAGAAGAAGAGAGTAGGCAGCTCCCTGCTCCCTCCATGCCAGGGAGGGACGTAAATGCTCCTGCTCCCTTACCCCAGGGCGGGGAAACAGGCTCAGGGGTACCCTCGCACCCCCGGGGAGCCCCCAGGACAGGGGACTGCGCCCCTGTTCGCCCCCGGGGCACGAATTTACAGGGGTGTGGGTATGGATACTCTCCGAGGAGAGAAGGGCTCAGCCTTCAGGGGACCCCCAGGGGCAGCCACTCCCCAGGGACAAGTCCTGGTCCCCGCTCACCTGCGCCGCCGCCGCACCGCCGGGCCCGGAGCTTTTGAATGTAGCAGTTCGGTAGCGGCCGGCCAGCACTGGCCGAGCGTTACCCAATCAGGGCGCGGGGCGGGGCCAGGCAGCGACCAATGGACGAGCTTGCAAGGATGCTGTTACTAAGGGGCATCATCCCCGGCGACCAATGGAAGGGAGGGCTTGCGGTGGGGGCGTGGCGGTTCGCCCGAGACGGGCAGTGATTGGTGGGCCAGGTTGCCGTTTAAACCCGTCATGGGTGTCATGGCAGGCGCCGGGCCTGGCGGTGGTGGGGGAGCGGGCGCTCCTCGATATCCCGTGCTGTGCCCTGGCGGGACCGGGCGCTCTGGGGAAGCAGCCCCGGCTCTCCCGCACTTCACGGGAGAGATGGCGCGCCCTCCGCGGGCCCGTGGGCCTGGCGCCCCTACGGGAGCCTCCATCCCCGGCCTGCTGCCCTCTGCCTGGCCTGTGGGTCACCCCTCGGCCCCCCAGGCACCGGGTTTGGGGACAGGGTGTACCGGGGCTGGCCACGCAGCTCCTGAGACCCGGTGTCATAGAATCATAGCATGGTTAGAGTTGGAGGGGATCTTAAAGATCATCGAGTTCCAACCCCCCTGCCGTGGGCAGGGACACCTCCCACCAGACCAGGCTGGTCACCAGGCCGATGGGTGATTTACATGGCTTAGAGAACACTGCCAGAGGTATTGGCAGAAGTGGTTCTGGTGGGATGTCGTGCCATTTAACAAAGTTCAGTAACAAGTTTTGCTCTGTTCCTGTACTGCACAGTAGTTCGAACAATGATTCAAAACTTCCAAGGCAGAATCAAAGTTGCCAAGGTGACGCGTGGAATGACTTTACAACCTTGGAGGGTTATAAAGGAGGTGTGTTTATTCAGTGCCAGACGCACATGGGATCCTTCCCAAAGATGTGCGCCCTGACCCAAAGCAAAGTTCTGTGTTCATGGCCCTAACTAATACATATTCAACAGGTGTGACACAACGCCTATACATATCATAGAATCATAGAATTGCCCAGGCCGGAAGGGACCTCCAAAGGTCATCTAGTCCGACCCCTCCACAGTCAGCAGGGACACCCCCAACTAGACCAGGCTGCCCAGGGCCTCGTTGAGCCTCTCCTGAATATCTCCAGGGAAGGGGCCTCAACCACCTCCCTGGGCAACCTGTTCCAGTGCTCCACCACCCTCACAGTAAAGAACCCCCTTCTAATCTCCAATCTAAATCTGTTCCCCTCCAGCTTGAAGCCATTGCCCCTCGTCCTGTCACTGCAGGCCTTTCTAAACAGGCTCTCCCCAGCCTTACTGTAGGCTCCCTTCAGGTACTGGAAGGCTGCTATTAGGTCACCCCGGAGCCTCCTCTTCTCCAGGCTGAACAACCCCAGCTCCCTCAGCCTGTCCTTGTAGCA